ATGGTCAGACCGGGTGCCAGTGGGCAGGGGTGCATAAGTGAAGGGTGGAAGGGCAGGCAGAGGCCGCCCTGAGTGCCCCCAGCACCAGGGGAAGGGACTTAGATGCCATCCTGAGGCGGGGGTGGCCTTGGGGAGCAGTGGGGCCCTGATCTGCAATGTGGGGGTCGACTGTGGGAACCAGAGGCAGGTGCCGGCTGAGGCTGCTGGGCTGGGACAGGGAGAGGAGGGCCAAGCCAGTGAGCAGGACGGACAGACAGGTGGGTTGGAGACGGTCTGGAGGGACCCTGGCGTCTGGCTTCAGCATGTGCCGGGGGGCTGCACGGTGAAGCAGTCGGAGGCCAGGACTCTGGGGTCTAATCCTGTTTCCCAGTCGCCATCTGTGAACACAGCTCCACAGAGTCGCAGCCATGCAGGGGGGAAAGCCGTGGTGGGGGAGGAAGACGGGGGCTGGAAAGGGGCAGGCACTCTTGGGGTGGGGTGCACCCCAGTCTGTGGAGGAGGGTGCAGTTACACCTGCGTGTGGGTCACGCTTCATCCTGGCAAGGTGAAGGGTGGACGGATGGTTCCATTTCTAGACCACCACGCGGCTACGTGGGGCAGGTGGGAGCCAGGCCCCAGCAGGTCATGCTGGCCTGGGGGTGTGTCCCAGTCTGCCACAGGCAGGCACTCAATGCTTCTTACCACCAAAGACTGGCCACCTGGGGTGTCAAGGCCAGAGGCCCTGCAAACCTTGGTGGGGAGGACTGGGGGGAGGTCTGCTGGGCCACATGATGGCCTCCTGTCCCCAAACCCCTTGTCCATGCAGGAGGCTACCAGCCTCAGAGCCCCCGATGGGCTGCACACCTCATATCACCAACCCATCTCCTTTTTTTGACAGAAAGGGGGTCCAGAGAGGTCGCACAGCAGGTATGGGGTCCGACCCAGAATCCGGGCGTCCTGGCCCCAACTCGGGGTTCCTCCAGGGCCTCCTTGGCTCCTGCTGCACTGGGACAGGGAGCCGGGCAGCCTCACATGAACTCCAAGGGGACCTCTGTCCTCGAAAGACATGAGCAGCGGGGGAGGGTGGGGTTGAGGGCTCCCTGGCCTGAGTGTATCTGCACACCCAACCCCCCGAACTTCACGTGGGGCGCCCATACTGCCCCTCCAGAACCTTCTGACCTCCAAGGATGCGACGTGTCCTTGGTTTTGGCTCACTAGCTTGACCTAGGAGGCTGCCTCAGTTTCCCCACCTGTAAAACAGCACAGTCCAGGAGCCTCCTGTGGTGGTGAAAACTGGAGGACACGTGGAGAGGCCTGGTCTGGTGCATCATGGTGCTTAAACCCGTAGCACCCAGCAAATCACAGCCACCCGACTGAGTGACTCCACAGCGGTGGGGGGCTAGCTGTGGGGGGCTCTAGCCCCAGGAGACCTCCAGCCAGCTGAACCTTCTGGGCTTCAGTCTGTGCGGTGTGGACAGAACCTAGCCCCAGACTGGGCACCAGGCCGGAGACCAAAATGTGTGACCCTGACCTTGTCCTTTGAGCCAAAACTCAGAGGGGGCCAGGCTGAGCCACAGGAATCTGGCCTTGCCCACCAGGGACCACTCCTCTGCACACGGAGCCCACACCAAGGCTGCCCTGGCCCATGGGAGCCAGCCCAGGGTCCCGGAAGGGCTTTAGGAACAGGACAATTACCGTGCATTTGATGTCTGCAAAGAAGAGGAAAGTAGGCTGGGGGTAGGTAAACTTTGGTTTTCCTGGTATTTTTTCAAATTAACTTTTACCATGGGATAATTTTAGACTTACACAGAAGTTGCAAAGACAGTAGGAAAGTTCCCATATGTGCTTCGCCCAGGGTCCCCTACTGCTGGCATCTTACAGAATCCTGGGACAACTGTCCCAACTGAGGGGTTGACCCTGGTTCTTACCACTAACCAAACTCCAGACTTTATCTCGGTTTTGTTACTCTCCTCTTTTCTTTTCTTTTTTTTTTTTTTTTTGAGACAGAGTCTCACTCTGTCGCCCGGGTTAGAGTGCCATGGTGTCAGCCTAGCTCACAGCAACCTCCAACTCTTGGGCTCAAGCAATCCTCCTGCCTCATCCTCCTGAGTAGCTGGGACTACAGGCATGCGCCACCATGCCTGGCTAAGTTTTTCTATTTTTAGTTGTCCAGTGAATTTCTTTCTATTTTTAGTAGAGATGGGGGTCTCACTCTTGCTCAGGCTGGTCTCGAACTCCTGACTGAGCTCAAGCAGTCCTCCCGCCTCAGCCTCCCAGAGTGCTGGGATTACAGGCATGAGCCACTGCGCCCGGCCCTACTCTCCTGTTTTCTGTTCGGAATCCCAGGTTGCATTTGGTGAGAGAAGAAAAAGATGTTCCTGGCAGGTGAGTTGACTGAGGCACAGCCGGGAGCAGGGCTGCACCTCCAACTTCCCTTGCGGTGCGGAGGTGACCAGAGTCCAGGGAGCAGCCCTGGAGGCAGAGGCAGAGGGATGACTGGCCGGCTCAGGCGCAGAGGGAGGAACAGGACTGGGACCCAGAGGTGGAGCAGTGCCAGCCCTGGGGGGCCATGCCTGGGGGAGCTCAGCTCTGTCACATTTCCTACCAAGGTGAGGCCACCTCTCTGGGCCGCTGTCTTCTCACCCATTACATGGGTAGAGTATGAAATGAGACAACAAGGTCACGGTAAAAACTGCCAGAACTAGTACTGAACTGGCAAAAAAATCACATCGCTTCTCTGAGCCCAAAGTCTCCATCTCAAAATGGGAAGGACACACCCACCCGCCTGGGGCAGAAGTGCCGCTGCTGACTCTCCCCCACTCCGTCCATTCTGTCCCCTCCCCAGGCCCTGGCCACCATGCCATTTCAGGCTGCAGGCCCAGGACTGTTGGGGACAGCCCTGCACCCCAGCTTCCCAGAGCCCAGGCCAGGGCGGCCCCGACGTGACCTTGGGCGAGACCTTGCACTGCTCGGCTGCACAGCAGAAAAATCACGGCGCACGACACCGCGCCCCGCCCCCACCGGGCTCGGGACCTCGCTCCTCCTCGGAGCCCCCAGGGCGGTGACCCCCGGACTCGCCGCAGGCATCCAGCCCGGCCCCCGCCCCCTCGGCCCCGCACGCGCCCGCCCCCGCCCGGGCTTCCCCGCCCCAGCCCTGCGTCCCGCGGGCCAATCGGCGACCTCCTTGACTAAATAAGGCGAGGAGCCGGGGCGGGCGCCCCCAGTCCGTTACTTCCGCCCCTAGCCCGCCGTGACTCAGGCGGGGACGGTGCTGCCCCGGGCCCGGCTTCCCAGCGGCGCCCAGATCGCCAAATATGGCCGCGCCGCGCACCGCCGCCCGCGCACCTGGGCCGCACCTGACCCGCCGCCGCCGTCCCCTCCGCCAGCCCGGCCTGCCCGCCCCCCTGCCCTGGCCCCGGCCCCCGCCGGCGGCCCCGCGCTGCACTGGGGGCAAAGCTCCTTGGGCCCGCAGTCCCCTCCCTGTCCTCGGGAGCGACCGGGACACCCAGACAAAGGAGTTTTAGAGGAAATCGCAGTCGAGTAGAACGTGGGGTGGGTGGATACTTCCCACCTCCCAGGTCCCGCGGCGTGTGACATCGCGTCCTGGGACCCCCCCCCAGTGGAATCTCCCTCCCAGGTGACGGCCAGGGTTGTGGTTCTGCCCAGAGACGCGAGTCAGGGTGGGTTTTCTGGAGGCCTATCCGGGGGTACTCTCATGGGGGCATGCACACTCTTCACAGGCGGCCTTGCCGGGGCCCGTGGACAGTCTGGGGTTTTGCGGACCCAGCACCCTCCCCGCTGGGCCTGGTGGCAGGGTGGCCATAGGTGCAGTCTTTGCGTCTGGGGTGCCCGTAGCCGGCAGGTGAGCTGAGCCAAGTCCAGCGTTTTCACTGCCATAAGTGGGGTCTCGGTTGACCTCGCAGGCCCGAGAGCTCGGACCACTCGCGGGAGCCCGTCCGGCTCCGCCCCCCAATCTGCCGGGGTCAGGCTGAGTGCCCTGCGGCCTTGGACGGGGCCGTCGCCTCACTGCCACCGTCCCTGGCCAGCGCGCTTCCCAAGCGCCTCCTTTGATGTTTGATTCCACACTAAGCAATTCCAGAGGTTTACAGATAAGCCCGAGGAAACCACCGGGCCAGGATCCCCTCCGGGCATAACCTAAGCACCAGTGCGGGCAGGTGCGGCCAGGACCCTGCCACAGGGGACAGGGCTTCCAGCGCAGGCTCCAAGGGAGAAACTGCACCCTGGGCCAGGAGAACCCACTGCCCCAGGGCAGTCTGGAGGGGGCCCAGGTCGGTGGCTCTGGGCCCAATCCCACTCCAAGCCAGACCTCGACCATTCTTAGTATCATTAACAGACAAGAGGACCCCTCCCCTCCAGCCAGTCCAGGACTGGAAGGTCATTTGGAAAGTCAGAATTCCCTTGCCCTATCTCAGTTTCCCTACAACGTCCACAGGTGACCAGACTGAAACAAAGCCCCCCCGCCAACTGCCCCCTCAGTGGATAAGGCGGTGGGGTGAGGACCCGCAGCCCCTTCCCTTCGCCACCGCGGCGAGGCGGACGGCTCCCCGCAGCTACCCCGCACCTCCGGGCTCGGCTCCGGGAGGGGACCCCGCCCCGCCCCTGCCACGGCTCCGCACCCGCGCGGGGATCCGCCCTTGCAGCCTAGGCGCCCTGCAGAGCACGAAGGGAATGTGCGCGGGGAGCGTCCTGGAGAGCGAAGCCCCCAGCGGGGCCGGGCCGCGGGGACTCACCCCAGCTCGAGGCCCCGCCCGCCCTGGGCAAGGCAGTTTCGGGGCGCAGCCGGGCCCCCCCCACCGCGCGCAGTACCGGGCCGGCCACCCCGCGGCCCTCCCGGCGACCCCCGCGGGCGCCCCGGCCGCCCCGCCCGCCCGCGCAGGGTCTCCGGCGAGCGGGGGCGGCGCGGGCCGGGACCCCACGTGTCCCTGCCGGGAGGGCCAATGGACGCCCGGCTTTCGGCAAGATCGCCATATATGGCTATGTTCTGGGGCCGCGCGCGCCGCCGGGCCGCGCGCGCGCCCCGCTTCCGCTTAAATAGCGGCGGGGGAGGCGGCGCTCGGTCTCACTCGCCGCCGCCAGCCCGCGCTCCGCGTCCTCCTGCCGCTCCGCTCCTCCGCCGGTAAGCGCCCCGCGCCGCCCGCACCCGGCCCCCGCCAGGCCCGAGCGGACGCCGCGCCCGTCGTCCCCGGACCCGGGAGGCCGATCCCTCGCCCCGGGAGGCCGCGCCGCGACAAAGGGTGGTCCCGGCGGGGGAACTCAGGGCGGAGCCCCGGCCGCAGTGCGGACCCGCGAACGGGGCGTTACAAGGAAGGCTGGGCTGTCGGTTCCAGACGGTTGCTCCTGCGGGGGGCGGCGGGTCCTCGGGCCGGGGAGAAGGTCCCCTCGCCTAAGTCGGTAACTGCCCCGGCAGATCGCCATGGAAGAGGAAATCGCTGCGCTCGTCATTGACAATGGCTCCGGCATGTGCAAAGCTGGCTTTGCTGGGGACGACGCCCCCCGAGCCGTGTTCCCCTCCATCGTCGGCCGCCCCCGGCACCAGGTGAGTAGGGGGCGCCCCGCTGCTCCTCGGTCCCCAGGTGCTGGCGCGGCCCGCGCGCTGGGGGGGCGGCGAGCCTGACGGCCCCCCTCCGCAGGGCGTGATGGTGGGCATGGGCCAGAAGGACTCGTACGTGGGCGACGAGGCCCAGAGCAAGCGCGGCATCCTGACCCTGAAGTACCCCATCGAGCACGGCATCGTCACCAACTGGGACGACATGGAGAAGATTTGGCACCACACCTTCTACAACGAGCTGCGCGTGGCCCCCGAGGAGCACCCGGTGCTGCTGACTGAGGCCCCTCTGAACCCCAAGGCCAACAGAGAGAAGATGACCCAGGTAAGGCCGGGCCGGACGCTCAGCCGCCGCCCATTTTTCGCAAGTCATTTTCTTCTGCTCGGCCTCGTTTTCCGGATTTTCAAGTATTTCTCTCGCTGTTTCCAGGGTTCTGTTCCTCTTCTGGCATTTCCTCCCTGAAGCCTCCAGGTTTCTCGTTTGGTTTCTGCCTGCGTTCTTTTCTTTCTCCACACATCACACTGGCATGCTGGCATGTTGTGCTGTGAGCATGGGGTGGCCGCGGGTCTCTGCCTCTGACTGAGCGGCCCTTGTCCTTTCCCAGATCATGTTTGAGACGTTCAACACCCCAGCCATGTACGTGGCCATCCAGGCCGTGCTGTCCCTGTACGCCTCTGGTCGCACCACTGGCATTGTCATGGACTCTGGAGACGGGGTCACCCACACGGTGCCCATCTACGAGGGGTACGCTCTCCCCCACGCCATCCTGCGTCTGGACCTGGCTGGCCGGGACCTGACGGACTACCTCATGAAGATCCTCACGGAGCGCGGCTACAGCTTCACCACCACGGCCGAGCGGGAGATCGTGCGTGACATCAAGGAGAAGCTGTGCTACGTCGCCCTGGACTTCGAGCAGGAGATGGCCACGGCCGCGTCCTCCTCCTCCTTGGAGAAGAGCTACGAGCTGCCCGACGGCCAGGTCATCACCATCGGCAACGAGCGGTTCCGGTGTCCAGAGGCGCTCTTCCAGCCGTCCTTCCTGGGTAGGTGTCTAGATGGGGGCGTGAGTTAAGGGCCTCCCTGTCTCAGCGCGGAAGACACCTTGGGTGACACAGGACCACTAAGGGACGGTTTTGCCCCCTAGGTATGGAGTCCTGCGGCATCCACGAGACGACCTTCAACTCCATCATGAAGTGCGACGTGGACATCCGCAAGGACCTCTACGCCAACACGGTGCTGTCTGGGGGCACCACCATGTACCCGGGCATCGCCGACAGGATGCAGAAGGAGATCACCGCCCTGGCGCCCAGCACCATGAAGATCAAGGTGAGCTGCGTGGCGGGTGGCGTGCTTGGCGGGGGAGGCCTTGCCCGGGAGGAGGCGGTGCGAGCTGAGGCCGCCCTGGCTGTCTTCGCAGATCATCGCGCCCCCTGAGCGCAAGTACTCGGTGTGGATCGGCGGCTCCATCCTGGCCTCGCTGTCCACCTTCCAGCAGATGTGGATCAGCAAGCAGGAGTACGATGAGTCCGGGCCCTCCATCGTCCACCGCAAATGCTTCTAGATGGACTGTGAGCAGATGCGTAGCATTTGCTGCATGAGTTGGTTCCGAAGTATCGATTTGCTCTGGCAAATGTGCACACCTCATGCTAGCCTCACGAAACTGGAATAAGCCTTTGAAAAGAAATTTGTCCTTGAAGCTTGTATCTGGTATCAGCACTGGATTGTAGAACTTGTTGCTGATTTTGACCTTGTATTCAAGTTTACTGTTCCCTTGATTGTTTAATACCCTGTACATGTCTTTGATTTGAACCCTTAAGACCTGTGGCTCAGTCACCTCGTGGCTGAGGTGAGAACATGCTTGAAGGGGAATCTGGCCAGCAGCTCGGTGTGTGCAGGGTGTCCGTGCTTCAGAGCTGACCATTCCGCGATGTCTCTGGGGGCCGGCAAGAGTCCTGAACCAGTCCTCTCTGTCTTGCCGGTCTAGCAGGGTTTGGAGGAGTCCAAGCCTGAGGGACCCAGTTTTCCTGTCTTACCTGATGTTTTCCTGTGGGATCACCACGGGCAGTTACTTGGCTTGAGTTGGAAGCAGTTTGCATTTACACCTGTAAATTTATTCATCCTTTTAATTTATGTAAGGTTTTTGTACGCAATTCTCAATTCTTTAAGAGATGACAAATTTTGGTTTTCTACTGTTACGTGAAAACATTAGGCCCCAGCAACACGTCATTGTGTAAGGAAAATAAAAGTGCTGCAGTAAACTGGCTGGCTCCTGTCTGGGGAGTGGCTGGGAGGGCTGGCTGGGCACTGCTGAGCTTGGCTTCAGGGACTTGAGTAATTCCCAGTTTTAAGAGCAAGGAGGCATAGTCAGTTTGGCTGCTGGAATTTACTGAGTACCAACTGCTGCAGGAGCTGACGTCAGATAAAGCCTATCTGTACCTGGGAAAGGTTTCGAAGGCTGTGTTGCCGAGAAGTGCTTGGAGCCACGAAGAGCTCAAGTAGGGGCACACAGGACTGGACGTGGCTTGTAGACTTAAGTTTTAAGGATTAAATAGCGCTTGATTACTGTGTCCTAAGATGGTAGGTGTGTCACCTGCTATGAGCCTGGTCCCTGAGTGCTGCGGCCGTGCCGTCCTGTGGTCAGGGCGGGTGGGAGTGGCTGAGTGTCAGGGTGGACCCTGCTTTTCTGCAGCCATTCACATTTCAAACTTGATCCTTTGGAGGTTGGGTCAGGGAGGTAAGATCTCTTTACAAGATTGAAATTGAAAAAGTGTAAGGATTTGGAAGAACATAGGAAAGCTTTTATATTAAGGCGGGTCAGGGGGCTGTTTCTGCTCCTGTTCCCTGTCCCTTTAATAGCCGCAGAAGACAGGTGGCTTCTCTGGGGGCACACTGCCTGCGCCCGTCCTGTCCACCCCTCCTGGCGCTGGGGCCAGTGGGCAAGTCCCTCAACTCCGTGCACAGAGGCCAGTGCCGATTCCCCACAGCTGGTATGTTCCGGAAACAGGTGCCATGTGTTAGCCCTGGTTCCCTTCTGTGGTGGAGCAAGCTTTCTGCAGTATGGACCACACTGGCCTTTTTTTGTGGTGCTTTAGGGACAGCAAGCAGATGAAGGTACATAGTGTGAGGTTTGAGATCTGCGGAAGGGAGGCGGGTTACAGTGACACCCTGCCCTCACCCTGCCCCCAGCCTTCTCGAGGGTTTGTGGATGTCACCTCAGGCCGGGGTGGAAAATCTCATGTATGTGGCAAATGCTGCCTTTGTCAGCAACTTCTCTGGGTGGTTCTGAGCTGAGTGCACCAAAGTGCTAAGCTTTGAGACAGGAGATGGAGCTTCAGGGGAAAAGACATCAGCTGTAGCTACCATGACTTAAAACCGCATCTGCTTAAAGCAAGATAGGAATAGTTTTTGCCTACCACTATACAAAAAAATCATCAGCAAAGTTAACAGGTACCTGGGAAGAAGTGTCTTCAAAGTCTAAAACAGGAGTTTAGGTTAGAATATGCAAAAACTGCAGATCAGAAGTCAGGAAATTCTATAGAAAAATGGGAAAAGCGTCTGAATAGGCAACTTAACAGAAGAAACCTGGAAGGCTAACAAGATGGATGCTCATTAACACGAGGCATCAGAAAATGCAAATTAAAACAAATTAGGGGCCGGGCGCAGTGGCTCATGCCTGTAATCCTAGCACTCTGGGAGGCCAACACGGGTGGATCGCTCAAAGTCAGGAGTTCCAAACCAGCCTGAGCAAGAGGGAGACCCCCGTCTCTACTAAAAATAGAAAGAAATTATCTGGATAACTAAAAAAATATATATATATATATATGTATATATATAGAAAAATTAGCCGGGCATGGTGGCGCATGCCTGTAGTCCCAGCTACTCGGGAGGCTGAGGCAGGAGGATCGCTTGAGCCCAGGAGTTTGAGGTTG